TTGTCGCTACTAACTCTGCGTTAGTAGGAGTTATTTTGTGGACGGAGATCAATGTATTGCATTAGAGCATTTTTTATTTGAGAACCCATACTCCAATTCAACAGGCAGGTTTTTAAACCAAGCAGTCAATGTCCCTATTAGAACTGCTCTTTTTCATGAAATCGGGCCATAAAACTAAATCCGCAGGTGGCAAAATTTAGCGATTCGACATGGTTACATTTGAACACATTGAACGATCCCACTCATTCGAACAGACTCATTGAACAGACATATTGAACAGACCCATTCATCCGCAAGAGGTTTAAAGTATAAAACCTGATTACCTCGGGTTGGAAATAAAAACAAACAAAGGCACTTTCCCGTCTGGGAGACGATTTTCCGCTGGTCGTCAGACAATGTTTAATAACTTCCATCAAGTGGCCGATACCTGTGACATATTCGTCCGTTTGTCCTTCATAATCTGGGCATCCGCCCCGAGAGCGTTTGCTTCAAAAAGAGGGATTTTGCTGCTCTCATAGTTTCTTTTTGCTGTGCACGTCAGTGAATCATTCGCCCTTCCTGTGCTGAACTCAAGGCCGTCGGTCAAATTTATGCTGTTTCCTCCAGCAAAGACCGTCCGACACCAGTCCAAGTCTCTTGCTTTGAACCCACAAAGACTGAGTAATAGAATAGACGAGCATGTATGTAAAAAAGCATACAGTGCGTGACCTACCTCATGAAATGTTGGCCAAAATTCTGCAATCCATTTCTGATTAGGAAGGATTACTTAGGTGGGGTTGTTATATTGATTATCATGCAGCATAACCCTATAGCATTTCAGACTCGCCAGGATGTCAGCTTTTGAATGCACTTCTTTTTGACCTCTTACAGAAACAGCACTCAGTGGAAAATAACTACTTAAGTAGCATGCATTTTTCCTACTGATTTTCGATGGTCTTATAAATTCAAATATATTTTATAGAGAACATGCGCAAAATATTCTTTCTTATGCTTTCTGGTAGGTATTCATATTTTCTTCATAGTTAATGCTCTAGTAAAGTGTATATTTTGGTTTTAAAAAAGTTTCTAATTATGAGATTGTTAAGACCGCGCAATGTCCATGCATGCAAGACCGAACATGTCCGTTTACCAATGCTCCTCATGAAATGTACAGCACAGTCCGGATCCATTGCGAACTTTTATGAACTCTATATGGTGTCTTCTTAAAGGCATAGAGAGATATATGATTTTCCTTATGCGGAAAGCATGCACCTTGTAGACTGAAATTGCTAAACGCTGATGCAATGGCAGATCAAGCTCAAAATTATTTGGGAATTGAAAAAACTTTTTCAAAACCAAAATATACACCTTCTTCAAGCATAAAATATGAAGACAACGTGATTTCCTACCAAATGAGCAAAAGATGGCATAGTTTTGTGCATGTTCTCTATAAAATATATTTAAATTTATAAGACCATCGAAAATCAGTAGGAAAAATGCATGCTACTTAAGTAGTCAGTTTTTACCGAGTGCTGTTTCTGTAGGAGGTCAAAAAGAAGTACATTCAAAAACCGACGTCCTGGCGAGTCTGAAATGCTATAGGGTTATGCTGGATGACAATCAATATAACAACCCCACTTAAGTAATCCTTCCTAATCGGAAACGCATTGCAGAATTTTGGCCAACATTCCATGAGATAGGTCACGACACTGTACATACTGGTATGACTCTAGAACGAGCCACGTGGGAGATGCGCTAAACCAGCACTAGGGCTGTCCAGAGACCGCGAGTCTCTTATCGAATGGCACATCGGGTGGGGTATCCGACCTATGCGCAGGCTTATGCCGGACCAGTCACTTGCGCACAATCCGCCGCATCAGGTGACCGACCGACCGGGACAGTGGGCCGTCGCTTCGGGGACGAGAGAGAGAGAGGTCGACTCCAGGGACCCCGTCCCCAGGTGACTTCTCCACGTTCCTGACAGGATAACCCGATCCTTTCAGGGCAGAATGTAATAGCTCCTTCTGAATATGATCTCTGTGACACTCCCGCTCTGATGGATTCCAAGCCTCGCCCTTGTTTCTGTGAAAAACTGGCATGTTGAACGATGACCGGGTTGGTTGTGGCACGCGTAGACGGCTAGTTAGCTTTGCCAGCCACTGCACCCGAGCCCGCCTCCAGTTGTCCTGAGGCTGTTTTCCCACTGTGCCAGGTGGGTTGGGGGGAAGAATCTGCGGTAGATGCAGCGCAGGTATGCGCCCAAGTCACCGTCCCTGCGCCCACCACGCTGTGTAACGCACGGTGGTATCGTCGTTAGCCATGATCAAACTGACATTACGCACCAATACTGAACTCGCGTACAGAAATAATCATCGTATGAAAATTTGGTAAGATGTGGTTTAGTAGTCCCACTTTATGGACGCACTACTGTTGGGGTTGGGGTTAGGGTTAGGGGTCATGGGGAGGGGTTATAATAAGGGATTAGGAGCTATGATTAAAGGGTTAGGGTTAGGGGTTAGGGTTTAGAATTAAGGGTTACGGTTAGGGGTTAGCGCGACCACTTCTCAAAGCACAACCGAGCATTCCCAATAGCTATTCTTTTGCATTCAACTACTTGGCCTCATCGCCTGTGCGTTCCCTGACCCCACCTGTAACAACCCCTATTACCCCCGGTCCCATATTAGAGGTAACTGGGGGTTTGTTTACTTCAGTTGAGGCTACATAATCACATTGGACCGAAAGTTGGACAGAACACTTTTTCTGCACGACCTACAAAATTGCTTCAGCAAAGCTCTTCTTAGGTGCCAGTCTGATTATCCATACTTTGCACTGCATCCACTGGTGACAGAATTCACTAACGGACATACGAGGACTTTATTGACTCCACAACAATAGGCATCTCGAGACTTTTTTCATGGAAGATAGGCTCGCAAGCAAGCAGGACGCTTCCTTTTGAATTGCGCAACTAACCAAAAACAGCGCAGCATCAAACGAAAAGAGGGGAAGGGAGTGCGGTCGACGCGCCGTAGGGTAAGAATTGGAGAGACTACGAGCGATGCCTCTGAGTTTTTACCTTTATGTGACAGTTATTCAGGGATGATTTAACCAGATCATGCTCGAATTGCGTTCGCCAATCGGGTTACGGGCTATTCTTGTTCGTAATGTTTTGTTCAGTACTATCTCTCTTGCTGATCGCTTCGCGACTACCAGCGAGGACTGTACCATCAGGCCCCAAGGCACAACATGACAAGACAGGACATATGACTAAACGCACTTCCAAAGTACTTTATACTCCTGATCGCGACTGACAGTGTAACGGGCTTGTGGCTTAACGCTAGGGCGGGTTCGAGTACCCGATTCTGCAGATCTGGACTCGGGAAGTACTTACTGATGACGGCTAATAAGCTGGAATCAACCATTCCAGTCTCCCTTTCTTCTTCTCCATCTTTTCCTCTTACATATGCTTCGGATCTAGCCCTATCTTATATTCCGTGTGTAGAGAGGCGGACTGCCGTTGTCACGATTTGAAGACTCCTTACGGAGTGACATTTCAACCGTCGTGACCGAAGATATACACCGTGTGCCCCACAGCCAGCTGACAGCAGACGCGGTGACTTGCGCGTGAAGTAGTTTAAATTGAGTGTGTTTTGGCAACATCTACCGTACTTCCCCCTCCTCCCCCTCCCTCCTCCTCCAACTCCCTCCTCCACCTAGGCCCCATATCGAGACAGGATCAATAAGACCGGGGGTGGGGGGAAACGTTTGTGGATGGCATGGCAAAGGAGCCCACATCTAGGCATACTAGCTAGCTCCCTGCTATAAAACACACGCTAACCGGGATTTATATACCAAGACAAGAAAATATAAGACTGATCGGAGCCCATATTGGCGCGGCGAGAGACTGCAACTGAGCCCTTATTAACAATCCTGGCCCAAAATACACACTGACCAGGATGTGGAAACGAGCAAAAACAAAGAAGACGACTGACGTGACGAGGACCGCCCTTAGGCGTGCCGCCATACCCGGCTCGGACCCCACGGACTGGGAGTGCCATAGAGGCCGCATTATGAAGGAGTCATTGCAGCCTGACTCTCAGACCGAGGCCGAGAGCGAGGTCCAAGTTATCCGTCAGTTGGCAAACCAGGCCGGAAAGTGGAGAATAACATAAGTCATTGGGTAACTATGAGCATGGCCTGTATGCCCAGTGGGATCGCAAACGCCTCAACCGGCAGGGAATGAGGTGACAGAGAAGTGCCGGCCCACATCTGGCCGCGAGGGCCCTTGTTGGCTAAAGTTTTCCATAGCATATGCACACAGTCCCCAAGGCCCACAAGGGTGGGACGCAGCCCTGCATGTAGCCTAATCTATTACCCTTCAAGGCCAGCTAACCATTCAGCCATCGGCTGAGACGCACACCCACATTCTTCACACGTGTGAGAGTGCCATAGGACACGTTGAGAAAGAGCCGTATCAGCCTGACTCTCAGCCCACCAGTCTGCCATTCCACCCAAACACACTCACAGCTGGGCAGACTGCGTGGACTGAGTTGATACGTCAGTCGACAACCTCCCAGGCTACGGCGCTTGGGCTCGGATCACACATGCTGTAGAGGAGCCACATGGAGAAGAAGCCTAGGAACACACTTCCCACTTGCGTGAAATGTGCCAATTGTGTGCTATCGCTGTGTAGTGATGGGTGCTGTTGATGGGTGTCATAGGTGCTGGCGGGGAAAGGTGTGATGGTGTGGTATGGCCTACCGCAGGTTTTCATGGATTGCATGTGGCCTAGTAGGCCTATGCAGTGACGGAATGCGCGAGGCTAATGCGGACAGTTGAGGTTATGGCGCCTGGTTCAACTCCTGGGTGCTCCAGGCACTGATTCACTAGTCTCTGTGCGATGGATTCGCAAATGACCGACCAGGCCGATGTGTGAGTGAATTCGTGGGTACAGTTTGGATAGAATAGGCCGGGAGCATCAATGTCGCCCTCAGTGGTGATGGTGGTAGGAGTGGAGTTGCTGATGATGGGCGCGCTGTGCGATGAGCTGGTGATTAAACTAGGCATAATGAGTGTTCAAGGTGTGCTAGATGGGTCGATATTGTGGTGAATTCCGCAGCTGTGGATGCCCACGTGACCAAGTAAGCCCACGCTGCTCGTAAATGTGTGTGCGCAGCGTGGACAGTGAATACAGAGATGGCGTGTGTATGTGGCTGCCACAAGCACTGGTTCGTCAGCCTCTGCGCGATGGATTCACAAGTGACCGACAAGGCCGATGTGTGAGGTGAATGAGGACAGGCTGAGGCCTAATCCACATCGCTAGAGGTGGGAGTGTTGGTGGTGATGGTGGTAAATGACGTGACGCTAGATGTCGTCCTATCGGCGGGCGGAATGCGAGAGGACGTGGTATTAGCGGAGCTGGCACTGCGATCGACGCGGGGGTTGGGGCAGGATGACTGATGCCAGATATCGATTGCGACGGGACATCGGCAGTCTGATCACCGATCGTCCTCGCAGCGCTTACGGCAGGGATTATAACAGTAGTATTTGTGGAAGGAGAATTCGACGTTGTCGGTTGGTTGATAGATTGCTTCCGAAGGTGTCCTGCGAGGCCGTTTCGCGCGCGGAATGTGCGTGGCAGCGCGGGTATTTTGGAAGCGGCTGGCTGTTGACAGTGAAGTTCCAAAACACGTTTCATATGCTAGCCTTTCTTTTCGCTTTGGCGCCAGCCATGCGGTTCGCTTCGAAACAAACCTTCAAAGCGCACCTTACGGAGTAATACCTGTAAGAACAATAACGCGTCTCAAAAGCTGCACCTCACTGTAATGTTTAAACTGCATTGAGAAACGAGGCGATGTCTTGTCAGGCGTTACCTCAATTAAATTTTTTACAAAAGCACGGCTATCAGTAGTGAAAAGATAACGGCTGGACGCAACTTGTGACATCACTATCTTCGTCCGCCGAGCTGGACAAGCCTCTAGTGCCTTCGACTCAAAAGCCTGGTTCGTCAAATAAGGAACTGAAACTGTTGTATAACATACTCAACCTTTCCAAAATAAACCGGCGCAGTTGGTGTTTAGGCCAGGTATCAAGGAGTCGACGGCTAATAAGCGGCGTTTCTGTCCTCGCAACCCTATTTGCACGTCTTACAAATGCGGATGAGAGGTAATTCCTACTGAAATTATGGAGATTGCATCATCTTCCAGGAATGGCTGCTGTGTCATGCAAAAATTCAGTTTTTCCTAAAGTGTTTAGCAACGCCATAGTTCTCACTTATTATTTTTTCCTCAAACTTTGAAGCTGATCGACTTCGTGGCGCAACATACTCCGACAGAAGACCCCTCAACTGATGGGAGCCCCCGAGAAGATAAGAACGATCACGTGAGTCCTGTCTTTATTACCTGACATTTAACACTACACGTTTTGCTTTTATTAATGTGCATCAAGGCTGAACGCATGTGATCAACAGAAGCAATACATTTTGACTTCTAGCGAAGGTACTGAACCTGACATTTGGCTAGTTAAAACAAATAGGTTTGGAGGGTGATTTTAAAGGGCATTTCTCACTTTTGCTTCATTAGCTTGTTCAGCAAAGAAAGGTCGGCCCGGTTTCCTTTCAGGACTTTTAGGAGCAACATGCCTTGCGCTACGAGTGCGCCTACGTAAAGGTTCACTCCACATCTGGGGGTGGATGGCACGCGCCTCGGATTCCTCGGATTTGCGCTCCTGGCGAAACTGAAAGAGTGGAAAAGGTGTTGCGATCTAGGAAACCCGGTTGACTAGCAGCTAAACTGACTTGATATGCCCTTTTACCTGCGTCTTTAACTGGGAGCGCCTACTTATAAGTTCCTGCAAAACTGCTTGGCATTGCACATCCACGATCTACGGCAATTCGGGTTGGGGATTCGGATATGGGAGCGAAGTCACCACCCGCGAATCCTGTAATAATGAAATGAGCGTATGATATAACGGTTGAAAATGTAAGAGTAGACGCAGAAAGAGAAGGATGAGAGAGAGAGAGACGAGAAAAACCGATGGAACAGAATCTGCAAGACCGCCTCACGGGAGGAGGAAATTTTCAGCGGAAAGAATTGCTGTTTGAGGTAGGGTGGTTGAATCGGTTGGTGTTTCTATAATAAGATCCGAAGCAATAGGAAAGCGCCAAGGAGTACTTCTTGAATGATCCTCCTCCCACTCAGTTTACAAAAATTTTATTCACAAAATGCGCACTTATTCCAGTTAATTTTAATGCCTGTGCAGCGTCAGTTAAATTTTATATGAAGAATCTGCCAGCGTTCAGGTTTTACATCCATCCCACAGAAAATTACGTCATTTTGAAATCCGGTACCTGAAAATGGAGTCTGTGGACTCTGCGTCTACCTGCTTCTTGGGAAACTCGTATAAATGTTTGTGTAACTTATGAATGCCACTTGTATAGTGTGTGACGTAATCCACAGCCACTTCAACGCCTCATGGGGTTGAGGCGGCTTCCCTGTAGTAATAGGCAGGAATTATGCATTTGCCTCTAGAAGGTCAGTAAGTAAATCGGACATATGAGACACCTTCAGTGCCTTTAACATCTCCGACTATATCATCCATAACCGACCATGCTACTAACAAGGCGTTTTCAGTAGTTCCCAGATGCAACGAATCACGTCCTGCTTAGATGGCCTGTTTAGTGAGCCTGCCTCGTGGTCTCAGGCCAGCGGTGAACGGTAAGGTGTGAAAGAAGCAAACCTTTTTCTGGATTGTCATTATGCCCTTTGCAACTGACACAAACTAGCACCCTGAGCTGCCAATATCTGAAATAGGCGTCATGGGCTGTGGCTGTATTTAGCAAATTCGTAGGTGCTTTCTTCAAAACCAACTTATCTGGCCTTCAAACTAACGAACTGGCTTACTGTCCATAGATCAGTGGAGACAACTGGGCCCTAAACTAAGGAACCGTTCTAATGTTTATAGTGGCCTTCTCGGGACATTTACTTTCTTATGTTCAACTTGGAAACGCCAAAGACAATTCAAGCCGTTGCCATGCCGTGAGATTTCACAACAAAACTTTTAAGCGCATTTGAAAATCAGCGTGTAAATATATTCCGTCTGTTATAAACTCTTTAGGACAAGATGACCTCCGAAGGGGCAGCAATGTTTACGTCTGAAATTTCAGGGGACACCAGCCCATAGACATCCTGTTCTCATCTCCAACACCGTGACAGTTTAACAGACGTTTTGACGGACGAAGTCCGTGGCCTTTGCCTTAGTGTTAGACGGCCGAACATCGGTATGCAAGGGGTTAACAGGTCTGGCTTTGAATACTGGAAGCACAATTTGTGCACAATTAATGACCTAACAGGAGAAGGGCCACGAAATTCGCAAACAAATCTCTGTGACGAACAGGTCGCTCACCTCGCCTCCACCAAAACTATTCTTCGTCAAAGAAACGACTGGCTTTCAAAGAATGAAAGTCGGCGTTCAGATGACGCTTGGGAAATACATGACGTCCTCTAATCAGCTTCCGAGCTAAAAAACTGCTTTATCATGACATTCAGCAGTTGAAGGCCGAAGTCCTTCGTTCTTTTTCTAAATATACGCAAGGAGAACATTGACAAGTGTTCCTCGTAAACAGTCTACTTTTTTACGTACGACGAAAGAAGTCGTCGTATTGCTTCCTTGCGGACCGTCTTGGTTCACCTTGGTTAACTATATGCACTGTTCTATTATTAGTAATTCTCTAGAGAGTGAACTGACTAATATTGAAAATACGAGCTAACTAAGCAAACGGCGGCTCTTCGGCTGCCGCTCAGTACCGACGCCCGACGAGAACCCTTAGACATCTTCCTTGCAGGACAAGACGGAAAAGCAACAGCGTGTCGCGAGTTCTCCTTGCACATTTTCTTAGACCTTGTTTATTCTCAGTGGTATTTGATCGCCGGTATATTCCTGGATTTTATGGTACAAAGGTCCCCTATTAGCCGTGGGAGACATTTTAAAGCGGAATCTACCCACTGTTTCTTGAAATCAGTGTGATCTCTTATACAAGACCACGTGATCTCCATACATGTGAGATTTGATTTTCCGGTGCCAGAAGAGATTAATTTGAAACTTTCTTGCTTATATTACTTTTTATTTAGAGCAAAATGCGCACAAACAAGGGTTTTGGCCTGTGATAATCAGTAGCGTAGAAAAATATTTTGATATTAGGAGACGTCCAATTATGCCCAAACTTGACAGGCTTTCCTTCCATAGAAAAGATTTGCAATGAAATATTTAGAAAGAGACTTTCTGCACGCCAAATAAATTCAGCGTACAAAAGCAAAGCCAAGTATATGTCGTACTGCCCATTTTAATTCTGATCACGACATTTCAGGGGTAAGGACATCTGCTGTACAATTATTGACCGACCTCATGGAGCGTTTGCCAAAATTTTGAAATGTGTATTCCATTAGAAAGACTTGCTTAACTGGGACTGTAATATTTATTAATTTGCGGCATAATGCTGTGATATTACATGCACAGGATGTCAACTTTTAAGTGTCCGTCTTTTCTGTTGCCTGCGATGAACTCATTCGGAAGAATGACCACTTAGTTAATATAAATATTCTCTACTAATCTTCGGTGCTTCTGTAGATTAAAATATATTTTGTAGCAAACAGGTGCAAGAATATCCTTTCTTGTACTCAACTGGTAGCAAATCACGCCTTCTTGCAATTTTGTATTCTGAGGAGGGGTATCTTTTGGTTTTGAAAACAGCCTTTCAGTTCCAGAATAATCTTGAACTCGATCTGCCGTTCAGTTTAGTCTTAAGGTTTTTAGCCTACTAAACGAAAATCATCCAATTTTCTATTCAGTTAGGTAGATCCCAAACAGGGCTTGTAAAATTCTGCAACAGGTGTGTACTACGCTTTCTACTTTATGGAGGGCATTACTAAACAGGCATATAAAATGCTATCCGAATGGACATTGCACAGCCTTAAAGATCTCGGGATTAGAAATTGTTTAAAACCGGAAGATAACATTTGATCGAGTAGAAATGTAAAAAAAGACTTGATTCTCTACAAAATAAATACAAAAAGGAATATTTATGCGCATTTCCTTCAAAATATATTTGCATTTTCGCAGACACCAAAAATCAGTTGAAAATATTTAATGCATAATTGACCATTGTCAGCCAAGCACAGTCATTAAAGACGGTCGAACAGAAGGGTATTTAATAGCCAACATCTTGGTGTGTCTGAAACATCACGCATTATGCCGCAACCCAGTAAAAATGGCAATTCATATTGACCCAACTGTGAAAAACTCGGCGCCTCTGTGGGATTCGAACCCACGCAGTAAGGGGAAGGCTTTAGTACAGCCAACGCTCTAACCACATGAGCTAAGAAGACAAAATATCTATGAATTACGTGAGCCTAGTAGTCATTTGGTGGATTCTAGGTGAATTACATCGGAAATCCTGTGATTCAACTCGCGTCGTCCGACGGGGCCTCGTAGCCCAAGTGGTTAGAGCGTTGGCGGTAATAAAGCCTTCCCCCTACTGCGTGGGTTCGAATCCCACCGAGGCGCCGAGTTTTTCACAGTTGGGTCAATATGAATTATTCAAAATCTGCCAAAATATCTATCAAATATTACAATTCCGATTACTAGGTATTTTGGCTGATTTTGAATAATTCATATTGACCAAACTGTGAAAAGCTCGGCGCCTCGGTGGGATTCGAACCAACGCAGTTAGGAGACTGCTTTAATACAGCCAATGCTTTAACCACCTGAGCTACGAGACCCCCCTGGACGACTCGAGTTTAATCATATTTGGGTCCAGTTTACCCGCCCAACCTACTACAACGTCTTGAATCCACCAAATCTGATGCAGTAAGTTGACTGCCCAAGCAGGATTTCCTAAGTAATTCACCTAGAATCCACCAGATGACTACTAGGCTCGCGTAATTCACAGTTGGGTCAGTATGAATTATTCAAAATCTGCCAAAATACCTATGAATTACGTCAGCCCGGTAGTCATCTGGTGGATTCTAGGTTAATTACTTAGGAAATCCTGCTTGGGCAGTCAATTTACTGCATCAGATTTGGTGGATTCCAGACGTTGCAGTAGGTTGGGCGGGCAAACTTGACCCAAATTTGATTAAACTCGAGTCGTCCGGTGGGGTCTCGTAGCTCAAGTGATTAGAGCGTTGGCTGTACTAAAGCCTTCCCACCTAGGCGCCGAGGTTTTCACAGGTGAGTCAATATGAATTATTCAAAAGCTGCCAAAATATCTATGAAATATTACCATTCCAATTAAATAATTCATCTCAATCGATTACGCATTTCATTATTTCGGTCAACATTTTATGACACCGACTACTGACTCTATAGCCAATTCTACCAACTGGTTAAGGTTGTTACTATTATTAACTGGCGACCTTTTCAACCTTTAGGGAAATGGTAGTGACCGCGTGCATAAATTTTTGACTTGCGGTAGAATGTGGTTCGTCCCCGGGAAAAAATTGTGTATCTTCCGACTTTTTGAACTGCGTCCTGATGAGCCGGTGCTGGAGGTAGCTTATCACCGGTCAACTATTCACGGGCTGCCTGTATGTACTTCTGAGTGACAGTTCTAGGTAGTAAACACTTTCACGGCTCCTCGCTATACAGTTCGTCTGTGCTAGGGTGACTGGAGAGAAGTCCGCTAATTTCACATCCTGAGGATTGGCTCTACTATCTGCTTTATGAAACGACGGCGACTGAGGACCAACCCATGAACGCGGAACCTGCGACTACCGCGCACGTTATGGAACGCCGGGGAACGCATCGTGAATGCCGTAGGCCAATTCGCCGTTCGCCTATCCGTTACCGATTAAAGCGGATGTCGGGCTAATTAGATAAGTTGGAATAATCAGCGATCATTTGTTGCACTGACTGTGGAAACTGGGCTTCGAAATACGTCGGCCAAAAGGCTTGAATTTCCCAATACAGGTGCAGGAACACGGAGCGGAAGTAAGAATTTATGACTGACTTTCAATAGTCGCCTGTCACCAGGTAGACCCCAATCATTTCTTTGATTTTGCCGTGGCATCGATTACTGGCAGAGGTCGCCGTACAATGGTTCAGGGTTCGTGACTTTCCACGCAAGCTCAATGTGCCGCCGAGTAGAGCCTTATTTAGTCGTGTCCGGCGACGACGAAGTAAAACCAGACTTGCTCGAGGCTAACTATAAAGCAGCCCACCGTTCAGAAGTTGGCTCATGCATCCAACCCCGAAGCAAGTGCGAGGCACCAAGACGAACTGGAGAACCGCTTGTCGGCAGAAGAGGCTGTCAAATGAATCCACTCTGCGTTTCTAATGGACGATCCACCCGCACCTAGCCACTTCCAACGCTAACTGGTCATCAACTGGACTGGACAGATTCGTTACGCGGATAATAACGTAGGCACGATACCCCACTGTCTGATGATAGTAGACGACCTAAGTCCGAAACGATCGACGAATGAGAGTATTTTTCAGGGGTCGACCCCCCCCCCCTCCTCCGTGTTTTTTGTGCTTCTCAAGTCGCTTACGTTATTCCGCCGAGACAGCCACGCACTGGTCCACTCTAGTCCTTTTATGCGTCGCGTTTACGTTTTTTCTGCGACATATCGACTTCTTTTTTATCCGACATTCTAAACTGTCCTTTCAAAATGCCATCCTGTTAGTTCTAATCCTAGTCATCATCTAAAAATTGGTGTATCGTTTTTACGACCGAATTGTTACTACTTCTAACATTCAACTGATGACAGAGCTGTGGGAGATCGAGATCGGCACTGAGGAGGAATCCCTTCTCACGACCATTCAGGACATTCTTTGTTATGATAGATCATCCAAGCTTGAATTTATCGCATCACTCTAACGGCCGTGGTCTTGTGAGTGGCACGCGTAGACGGGATAGTCAACTAGGGCAGTCACAAAGTCCTTCCCCACCCCCGGTTGTTTTGACTTATTTTCCACCGGAACAAGGCGGATGAGAAAGAAGTTAGTGAGGCTAATGCAATGCGAGTCTGCTTCACTGCAAACAAACTCAGGAGCCAGGTGCTGTTTCAGGGCCCACCTCGTGGAACATGGGGGATGTCACACAAAAGAGACCTTGTACTATATCCGCAAGAACCCTGCTTTCCGAGGGTAACTGCATGGGATGACGAACGTCGAGAAATACCTGCATCCACCTGCGGCCTCCCGCAGCCCCTTCTGACATCAGTGTAGACGGCGCTTATTATAGGAGCGACCATTCAAGGCCAAAGCCTTCTGCGCAATGTCACTGGATGTACTTTTACTCGGGCGATCAGCGATTGGTCAGGCGCAGATCGGCAGTGTTGGTCGACCAAAGGGGAACGAAATTTCCTCCTCTACTGCGCAGTAGGCGATAAGATTAAAATGTAAGCGGTCGTCGGCAGTTATTTCGTGTGCCAAGACATAACCCTAGCACGGTTCTGAGAGTAAATATGTCGCCCGGACACGGGCTTTGTCGACTTTATTGGTCGCAGCTCTGCGTTTTTATTTTCAGTCATAAAGAGCTGGCGGAGAGAGAGAGAGAGAGGGAGAAGGCTCAGAAAACAGCAAAAGTAAAAAACTCGCGGGAGGAAAAATCAAATTGACAGGGCCTTGGCATCTCTGCGGAAGTTGTTCTAACGCCATAAGCACATCGTACTTGCTGTTAATTGGAGTACCAACATCTTTCAAGATATGCGGTCTTCAAAGCATTGTATAATTTAATCTAAAGACAGCTACTTCTTACACATAACCAAGGTAGACTTGAAGGTTTTCCTGTTGACATCCAACTGCTTTGTCAGCAAATTTTTGTGCAATTTTTTGATGAAAGTTTGCAAGGACGATGCTCAGACACTTTATAGCCACATGATAGAGTTTAGTTTAATCTCTCGAATTTTGAACCAAATAGCGGAAAGAACTTAAGTTAATATGGCTCAGTAGCATAAAAAGGCCACGCAAAGCACTACTGAGGACATGATACATTATCCCAAAAAGTGTGCACGTTGAAAACTGCCTCTCGATATCCGCACCTGGAATTCAAGAAATCCACTCATTGTTCAAATTGATCTGCATAATGCCGTCAAGTTTGCTAGGTCAAAAGTGAACAATTGACAAAATTCTCGTTTCAGTTCGAAAATTTAGAAAATATTTTTAGTAACCCTATTGCTTTTGTCGATACCACGCGTTTTATTATCATACGTCCAGAGGGCACCACCTATGCTCTATCTTTCTAAGAAAGGATGAACTAAATCCCCATTTTGGCAGTCATTATGTTGCAATTTTACGTTTGCGTTTTGCTACTCGGAGGTACATGGTGTCCGCCTATAATGAAAAATCAGCATTTCCATCATGTTTTCGGACTACGACCCACTTTCTCGGGTGTTCTCTAGGTTTCGGCACTACCTCATAGGTACCTTCTGCGGAAACATTTGAACATTTATTTGAAAACGGAGGTAATGGACCATCCCGAAACTAGGCATAATTTGTATGCAGGCCTAATAAACCAACGAATGAAGACGTCCGTTTTGGTCCGTTTAGATGTTTCCAAAGGTCCACAGTAGGAATTCGTAAAGTAAGGCCTCCACTTCGAAATGTTACCCTGCAAGTATATGTAGTTTCCTGCGAAAGGACTATATGAAGTGGGTTATTTCTGAAAATAGTTACTGTTGAAGTAGTAAATTTTTTGTGGAATAATTCGCACAGAGACTGCTGAGGAGAGTACCGGTAGGTGGGAATCTGTTCGCCAATTCAAAATCAGGCCAGAAACATTTGTAAACATACCCTAATTTCAAACTTAATCCCAACTTTAACCCTAGCCCAACATTAAGGAGGGCGGAGGCTCGGCTTGCCATAAATGCCCTTTACCGCTCTCGGCTGCCGAGGCAACCTTATCCCTGAGAAGACTCCCTATTAATGGAGTTTTCTCACAATTAGCATGGATACAACTGTCTGAGTGTGAATAGGCATAATAATTTGAGTCTCACATGCCTGTTTATAAAGCGACACGAGAGTTCGACAATCGAGTTCGACAATGTCCACCGTGTTCCACACTGCAAGGCGGAGCAGAGACGGTGACTTGCGCGTGAATTAGTTTAAAGTGACGGCGGACTTGCGCAGCATCTACCGCACTCCCTCTTCCCACTCCCCACCTGGACCCCGTGCCAAGACAGAATCAGAAAGACCGGGGTGTGGTGAGAACGCAGGTGGCTGGCACGGCCGGAGCTGCACCTAGGCGTGCCGCCAAACCCCTGGTCCACAATAGACACCCGACCAGGATTTTTCGCGACAACAACACCCCAACAGGGGCCAGAGCGACGAGGGTGACTGGACAGCCATGTCCATCACCTGTGTCCCCAGCTGGAGCGCAAGCGCATCTACCAGCAGGGTACCGGGTGTCAGGGAAACGCCAGCGCATACCAGACTGCGAGGGCCACGGTTTGCTGACACTGGCATAGCACAAACGTACAGACCTTTTGACCTAAGAAAGCGATAGTGAACCTACTCAGGCTCCTGGTTACTTATTTGAATTTTGACTCACAGGAGTCTGCCCTCAAAGATAACAGCGGCAAAAAGGAAAGGGCAGTTATAAGAATTTCTAACCCCTCAACGACCAGTATTCCAGGTGCGCCGAAAATTGTGTGGACCCGGTTCGCCCAATTCGGTTAGTCGGAGGCATGTGTTGAGTCATTTGGTCTGGCCGCAAACATTTTCACCCAGACTAACCCAAATATACCCCATGACTCTATGTGTTGAAGGGACCACGTGGCCTGTTTTGTAGACAGTGAAACGAGTACTGAAGCTAAGGCTGGGTTTTCCTGCAATCCGACTGCTTGAATCACGCCTGTAATCTTAACCATTGTAGGACCTTCTGAAGTCGGCCATCTTCGAGATGCTTGAAGGGAAAAGCGAGACCGTCCGGCCTTCAAAGGAACTTTCCCTGTCACGACTGGCCGAAAAGGAGGAGTTTCAGCTTCTTGTTGGTCGTCTGGCGCCCTACTTTATGTGCCCACGCCTACCACACGCCTTGACGGAGCTCCTAAGGCCTCGGAGCTTGGAAGGAGCTGAGTAAACAGACCATGCGCTAGGAGGATTCTGACTCGACGACAGCCAATCAAAGTGGATGATGGCATTGCTAACTCACTCTATTTATTAACTTCTGCACGATCTCCTCCTATCGATTAATTGTGTTTTACATTTTCAGATTGCTAGAACAACTGAGATCAACTAAAATAGACAGAATTGGTGCTTGCGTACTTAATAGCCATTCCAAACAGTCGACACAGTCGTTTGAGCCGGCCCTTCATCCGACTGTTTCTATGACTTTGCTCGATATCTGTGTTCACAATTCCAGCCTATAGGTACTATTTATCTGAAGATTTTAAAAAGCGTTTGCGACAATTGGTTCGCTTGAGTTCTTCGTCAACTGCAACACTGCTTAGGGCAGTAGACTTGCAGTATAGATCATTACTCGTCTCCAGATGTTGTGCGCAAGGAAACAGAGAGAAAAGACTGAAAATATTTCTTCTATGTTTGCGTAAAATCCCTTACGGCGACGACAGGCAAAGTTTTGTTGAGGGAAAGTGGGGATCTCACCAGAGCAGGTGACATTTGTCAAGGTCACTGTGGTGTAGTAAGCTAGTCACCAACCGTTTTGTTCTTAGAGGCTGCCCTTCCAGCCGGTCTATATTTGGTTGGCTGCTGGACCGACAAACATGCTCTCGGCGAACCTTGAAAGGCTTCCGTTGAATACAGTTCATTGCAAGGGTCCGGTTCCTTCGCCTTTTTAGTGCGCACTGTCGATCCGATCCTTTCGCGAAAATGCGAAAGGGTGAATACTATATCGGCTTCAGGATTGGTAGACAGTAGACGATAATTAAGGACTCCTGCGTCAAAGTCGCTTCGATTTGATTCAGAAACCCCAAAGAAGATCACTTGTTTCCCGGCAAGTTCAGCCGGAAAAGAGGGGCGACACAGGTCCGGTCCTTTCCGAGTTATCAGTCGTCATCAGCGAGTAACACATCTCTGCCCCGCCCCTCGACGACTGCAAACTATGAGCCCCAGGCCGTGAGACAATGTCCATTTTGGCTGAAGAAACCCGAGCATGACTAAACGTTTTTCTTCGGTATCTGATATTTCAGGGGTGAGGATGAACTCCGTCATTGAAATGTTTCTGATGGATGCAACACCGAATGGTTCATCATACTTGCCCCGATAAAAGCCCAAGCACATGCCCCCGTGGTATATCTGGTGCCGCTGCATGACGCAGCCGCGAGGGGTTCGGTTTATCAATGAGTCCTCCTAGCGTTCTGAAGGTGCATTCTTAGAAGATGCCTCGGTTTTTGCGTCCGGTTTCAAAAACTAATACTTGTGTCGCCAGTATGGTATCATGTAACCCAAATATACTATCAGTGACCGATTTCATGAAATGATAGCCGAGATCCTAAAATGCGTTCTCGATTAGTAATAACTACCTAGGTGGCGTCGTAATACTGACTAGCACACAGCATAATCCTATCATATTTCAGACTCCCCAGGATGCTGACCTTTGAATGCCTTTTTTTCTAACATGCAGCAATAACAGCACCCAATACTAAAGGGTCACTTAAGTAGTATGTACTTTTCACACTTATTTTCGATGGCCTTATCGATTCACATATGTTTTAACGGCAGAACGTCGATCACCGATCGCGCTACGGAACTCACTCGCTCCTTTTTGCCTTAGATCTCAAGTATGTTTAATAGAAAACAGGCAAAATAATATGCCCTCTTTTATTCATTTGGTAGTAGTTCATGTCATTTTCACACTTTATTCTCGAAAGAAGGGTATAGTTAGGTTTTAAAAAAATTTCTAATTATGAAAGACGGTGCAGGGCCCATCCATTCAGCATTGCGACTTTCCGATTATTAAGGCGCCTCATGAAGTACACAACATAGCCCGTATCCATTGCAAAATTTATGAACTCTACACGGTGCACACTTAAAGACATGGTGGAAGACATGATTTTCCCCGCGATAAAAGTATGCGCCCTCTAAGCTGAAACGCTAAACACCAGTGTAACGGTTGATCTGGCTCCAAATTATTCGAGAAGTGAAAACTGTTTTTAAAACCTAAATATGCCTTTTTGTCGAGTATAGAATATAAAAATGACATGATTTGCAACCAGATAAAAGAAAGCATATATTTATGCGTGTTT